TGACACCTGATTACAGATTCCTCAGGAAAGCAGCTCTGCCCTGTCTCCCCAGTGCTCTGGGTCACAGATGACCACGGCCATTCTCTCTGGGTAGTCATAGAACTGTGACAGCCCACCAAGTACCATGTCCCCTGAGTCCTTTCATCCACTTCCCACCAACTCCTTCCTCTGACCCACAGGGTCACATGGCCGATGAGGTTGCAGCTGTGGACGAGGAGTGAGGGACACTATGAGAACAGCCCATCCCAGGGTACACACATATGACTGTCTGAAGCAAGGTTCCTTCCACATCCCTCCAAGCAGACCCTTTGGAGGGTGGAGTGGTACCTCCTCTGGGGGTACTGAGGCCCACTAGAGCCCAGGAACCAAAGCAAGCCCATGTTCTTTACTGTTTCCCTGGTCTTCCAAGTAGGCAACCAGGTCCAGAGCTAGACCCTGAATGCAAGGAGATCAAATTATCAGGGATGGGAGGAGGGGCAGCTCCAGAACTTGTCCCAGCAGGAAAACTCCATCCTGGATTAGGCCAGAGGATACCAACAGAGATGGGCAGGAAGGATGGAAACTCTTTCCACCCCTGCTCCCACCCACCCCTAACAGGTCTGTGTGCTTTGCTCCCTAGAGAACCAGCCAGCCCCTGCAACCCAGGGCTTCCTGCTCTCACGACCTCAGAACTGAGTGACCTCAGGGCCAAGCTGTACTCTGGGAAAGCCAAGGCTAGCTGCAGGGAAGGCTAGAGACCTGACTTTCCCCATGTTTCCTAGGCAGACCGGCCTTGCTCCCCTTTCCTAAGAGCCTCATCCCCATCCCTTCAAGACATCTGGACTGTACAGAACTTGCCCTCGGGGCATATAGAAGACAGGGGTGGGAGAAGCCTGGTCCCGTTTCACAGGGATGCACAGGACCCTTGGGCTACTTACTCTAACTAGCGAGGTTAACTATCCTTTTTGTGGATATGGAGATACCTGGCTTCAGGAATAGGAGAAAGAACAAAAGAATCACCCAAAATAAACAGAAGGAAAGAAATAAGAAAGACAGAGCAGAGATGAAATAGAAAATATGGATGCAATAGAAATAGAACTGAAAGCTCATTTGACGACCGACAAGGCTGACAAACTTCTAAGGCACATCACGAGTAAGCCAGTGAGTGAGCCCTGAAGTCAGAGCTGCAGACACTGCACAGGCTCCTTGTAACTAAACACCACTAAGAAACTGTAAACCCATGGCTATCAAAATGCCTCGCCGAAACGTTAGACCAAATACAGCCAGTTATGGCAGTGTCTGCCTCCAATCCCAGGATCTCTTGGAAGGCAGAAGTATGAGATTTGTGAGTTCAAGGACACCTCAGGCTACATAGTAAGACACTTTCTCAAAAACCAAGTTTTTCCTCACACCTCAGCCGTCTTGGTTGAGGGGCATTCTACCCCAAAGGCAGAAAGATGGTGGCTACAAAGATAACAAAATATCTCTGGAGATGATCAATTCTAGGCCCCAACTTCTGAAAAGTCCAACAGGCATGCTGGGCTACAAACTGACTCTGAAGATGACCAGAGAAGGCAAAGCATAATGGTTCATTCTCTCCAACTACCCAGCTTTGAGGAAAGCTGAAGTCATACCACAAGAGGCTGGACAAAGCTATTGCCCATCAACACAGTGGCAATAATATTGACTTGGGCCCAGCATGCAGGAAATACTATAGTGTGTACATGCTGACTGCCGTTGATCTGGGGGCTTCTGATGTCATTAGAAGTATGCCATCACAGATTGCAGAAAAGTAAAGTAGGAGAACTTTTTCTTTAATAAAACTTGCCAGAGTTTGTCTTTTTAAAATCCTAAGGAGAGAGAGAGGAAAAAGTAATTTTGAGATATGTGACAATGACAGGCCATTTTTTAAAGTCCACTACGTGACACTAGGTCAGGTGACTACATTCTATGTATATTCAAGGAACAGAGAATGCTAATCTCATATGAACTCCTTCAGAAAAGACAAACTAGTCCTAGCCTTCTCATTTGCAAGTTCAACACAACCTTAAACGCAAAATGATCCTTCTCTTCACTACTGGTAAAGACAATTTGGAGAGGAGAGTGCAAAGGCTAATCTAGCCTTATGAGCCTACATCCAAAAATTATACACAAACATTAACAGACTGAACATGGCATAGAGTGACCAAAAAATAGCATACCATGGCCAAGTTGGGTTTGTTACAAGAATAAGAAGATGGCTTAGAATTAGAAAAATCTATTTGAGGGGGTGGGGACTGGGAGGAAAGCAGGGAGGGGAAACTGTAGTCAGGGTATAAAATAAATTTAAAAAGAAACATCTATTTGTATGCTTCAGCACATCAACAGAGTGAAACGACAGTCTAACAGATACAGAAAAGAAGTAAGTTAAATTCAACAATCTTCTTCTTTGTTGTTTTGTTTGGTTTTAGTTTTTGACTTTTGAGACAGGCTCTCACCATGCAGCCCCACTGGCTTTGAACTCCTGGTCCTCCTGCCTCAGCATCCTAATTGCTGCATCCCCACTCCCAGCTCAACACTTATTATTCATTTTAAATAAAACAGACTTGGAGCCAATGAGACTTCGTAACTTCATAAATGCCATCCATCAAGCATTTGCACCAACAATCTCACTTAGTGGTGAAATGCTAAGATGCTTTTGGCAAAGCTGGTAAGGAGGCCAGGATTCTGCCTGCCACCACTACCAGTCACCGAGTGATGGAAAAGAAATAAGGGACAGTGATTGGGAAAACATGATGATAGTTCCAGACACCCAACTGGCTGTCTGAAAAGCCCAAAAGAATCAAGGTGAGGCTGCAATATGGCAGAGAACTCAGATCTCTTGGTGGCTCGCTACCCAGCATGTCCTAGCAGTTCTTGTGTCCCCTGTGACCCTTCTCTCCACAGCAGGACAAATGCCACCTCTTCTGTAGACCCCTGACCCAGCCAGGATAAAGTGAGGCCCCATTGTTTATACCCACGGATGATATCCTGCCAGAACAGGTCTGCCCCAGTGAAGAGGAGTGTTTATAGGGTCTGGCCCCAGGGTCAGGCCTTGGGTTCTAATACAGTTCCGTCCTCATGCTGCTGAGATGGACAGAGCAAGCCTGTGCCTGTCCTGTCAGTCCCAGCAGACACTTGTCACAGCAATGGGACTGGACACTGATCCTACAGATAGACCTGGCCTCGGAGGGCTCGGCTTCGACATTCTGTCTGGCGTGGCAATTCTATGCTTACCTATCTAATCTACACACAGGCTCCTCAGACCAGATGAGAGAGCCAACCCCACTTATCACAAGAGCTGGAATCAAGATGCTGGGCCTGAAGCATCAGCCCACCTCAATCCAACATGACCTGACAGGCCAGGCTCCTGCCAATTGTATTTGTTTCCCAAGCACATATGTCCTTCCTGACCTTTCTCCATGGGTAGTTAACAAGCTTTTCATCCCTGTCAGATCCAATCGGCCCTTGTTACTTCATTGAGCAGCCAAATCAACAAGGAAACCACGTGGATTTGATCACCAGGGAGAGAGACATGTGTGAGCAAAGAGAGTAGCAGAGACAGAGGCAGCCTGTGCCTCAGAGTGAGGAGTGGAGAGCAAGCAAGAGTCAGAGAGCCCTGGAGGTGCCCAAGAAGATGAAGACAAAGGGGAGGCCAAGGACACACAGGAAGGACACAAATGAGCCAGCTATCTTCCAAGTACTTAGAAGGGAGTGTCCACACAATTCACCTTCCATGGTCCAGGAGAGTACCAATGAGGCAGCCGGCCTGATTTCTAAGGGTGAGCTCTAGGCTGTACTGCTTTCCTCTGCCACCAGGGGGCGGGAAAGAGCTCCATACTGACCCCGCAGCAGGAGGCTGGACTTAGTGCACAGCTGCAGAGGTTTCTCAGAATCCTCCCTCGGACCTCCTATTTTCTCACTAGCTGCTCCAAGGAGATACACATAGCAGTCTAGAAGGAGACAGAAGGGGCTGCCAGGAGCTGGGGCAGCTGAAGAACTCTGAGTTCACGGATGTTTCTTTCCAAAAATGAGAAGACTTACAGAGATGGGGCAAAGAGGGGATGCTAGGTGGATGGCCTGGTGGCTACCTGAATGGAAGCCACACTGGTCAGGCCATGGATTGTGACTCTGGCCACGGGGCAGTCTTTGGGTGATGTTTATCTATGCAGCCTTTCTTGTGATGAGGTCCTGTGCCCAGTGTCCTGGGTGCCCCATTCCCTCTTTTCCCTTCCCTTCTGAAGGCCCTCCATGAATTCATCCACACCCTGCCTTCCTGGATGCCTCAGAAGCCAGAGGCTGTGTGCTGTAGGATTTAGCAAGTAGGAAGGAATGGTTGGGAAGAGACCAGAGGAAAAGTGGGTTGGGAAAAGAGGGAAGTGTGTGTGTGTGTGTGTGTGTGTGTGTGTGTGTGTGTGTGTGTGTGTGTGCGTGAGAGGGGGGCTGCTCCTTGCTGCAGACCTACCACCCAGGAAGAGAATGTAGAAAGCTGGGAGGAGTCTGGTAGGTAGAAGCTAAAAAGGGACTTAACAAGCTGTGTCCCCACTCCAGTGCACCTGCGTGGAGGTGACCTCCCTCCCACAAAACAGCCTAAGTGGAGTGAGACAAGGAAAAGGCACATGTGTAGTGGCAGGTGATCCATACAGGCTTGTTTAGCTGAGGCAGGGGTGAGGCTGGAGGCTCAGAAGACCCAGCACAAGAGCAGCAGAGGGTCTCAGGCTCTGACAAGCTACGTGAACTTGAAAACATCACTTTGTCCAGTTCTTAGTTGTGTTTTTTAATCCAAAAAGTCAGGGTCTTGAGTTCAAAGCACATGGCAAACACAGCTTCCTGGAGCCCAGGTGGCTTGAAGGACTGAGAAAGTGACAAGCTCTTCCAACTGAACAGAAGAGTGGCTCCCGGCAGGGGTGTCCAGAGACCTCCAAGGTCTCAGAGGTTATCCCTGGGAGGAGGTAGCCTTGGCCAGGTCCCTGTCTCTGGAGTCACCTGGCCTTTGTCACATCCTACAAGTGTGTTTCCTTCTCCCAGGCAATGAGTTCTTGCTTGGCTGGTGTGGGCGAACAGTTGTGAGCAGAGGCACCATCCTGAGGTGGACGCCGCCCTGGCTGGGGCAGACTGGGATCCGGTGTAATGAGCCTTTGAAGGCGCTATGGAGAAGAGAAGCAGGCAGTGAATGAGCGCTGGGGTGTGTGGAGGATGCTCTGTGGGTGTGTCCCCAGGCACAAAGCCGGGCACTTGGGGCTAACTGCAGTATGGTTCTGAGATGAAAAGGTGATGAAGAGTGTGAACTCCTGGGTTCCAGCTCTGACCAGACTATCTAGGCAATCTCAGGTAATTCACCTTACTCTTCCATCCCTTCAGTCCCCTCACTTTCCTCATCTGTAAAATGGGGATAACAACACCTTATGGTACAGTTCTTGGCACAGGGCAAGTAATAAATAAGTGTCACAATTGTCACTACTATTTTTCTAATTACTATTGTTATGTGCTCGGATGAGATTTTTCCAGTTATCTGTAGTACTACTACATCGTTATGTTGGTTTTGGTGTGTCAACCGCACCCCCTTTCTGGCCCTGAATGTAGCTGTGATGATGGGAATTGGGAATCTTGACAACCTCACTATGTCCAGGAAATAGTAAACATGACAATGAAGTGATATGCTCAGGATGCAGGTATGAGGAAGAGTCTGGACCCCAGTAGCCTCTCCACAGCCAAACCAAACGCCAGCATCCCCCAGCGCTGACCTTCCTGATATGTAAGAATTCAAGAAGCCCATTTGCTTAAACTACTGTAGATCAGCTCTCTCTATTGCTATCAGACAGTCAGACGTTGACAGACCTAATTGATGTCTTTATGGGTCACTGGCAATGGCTTCTTCAAGGAAGGCATACCCCAAACTACACAGGGCCATCGGCTATGCCCCAGTTAGGGCTATGATAAGCAAAGAAGCCAGGAACCGGGGTGTGCTTGGCAGTTTTCCTAGATCCAGGATGTGTGTGTACTAATTAACACTTCTACAACTGGCCCCTTTTGGTCTGGTTCTTGTTTTTCCCTTAACCATTAAGCAGTTTTCTCTTGACTAGCTGGCTTTTGAGATCAGCCTGATGGCTATGAACCTAGAATTCCAGGGGCCTGCTCTTCAAAGGCCTTTAAGGTCTCCATGTAGCCCCTGGGCTTTCCTATGTAGGGAGCTGGTATGTGTTCTTGGATTAAGCCTCCCTCGAAGGTCTTCTTCACATGACACCCTCCACAACCACCTACCTTCTTGAAGGAACCCTGGGTCTTCAGGAGGGTGATGATGATGAAGAGTGGGACACAGGCCATGGAGGAGAAAGCCAAAAGCCATCCAATGGAGTATCCCCAAGAAGGGTACATGTAGACATTGTTGTATTTGAGAGGTGTGTACTTGCTCAAGGAGAAGATGAAGGTGGCCTAAAAGGGGAGGGGCATGATGAGACGGGGGCCACCAAGAGTCCCTCCCTGGCTACACCAACAGCCAAGAACAGAGGCCCACACTGAGAGGCATCTGAGGTAGGACAGTGTCAACTGAGCATCAATCACAGGTGGTGAGCATGGGCATTAAAGAGCTCAAGGCAGACAGAGAGAGCCTGTCAGGAAGCAGTATGGCTGTGAGGGAGGGCTGAAGCAGAGGGAGACTAGATAAAGGTGGATGGATAAGAGGCCCAGTAGAGAGGGGAGGGCAGGGTACGAGTCCCTCTGCTCAGGCAGGAAAGAGCCCCCAGTTCCCAAGTCTTCCACAGACAAGAGGGAGAAGGGGCAGTGGGTAGGTACTTACCAGGCAAAGGCCAGGAGTCAGGAAGAGCCAGGAGATCTTCACCAGGGGCCACGGCCGGTAGCCAATCATGTCCTCAACGTTGTCATAGAAACGGTCCGCCCCTGAGCAGGCAAAGTGGAAGAAAGGGTGAGAACCAGAGGTGAAGACAATTTCTTGGCCTTTGGGAAGAACCCCCACTGCCCTCCAGCCCTGCCTGTGATAGAGATGGGGCACAGTGGGGAAAGAGATGCGGACCCAGCCTCCTAGCCACAGAGCAGTGGCGGGGGCAGAAGCTGCCACCCACAGCTGCTGGAACAACCTCTGCTGTCCTGTCTAAGGGTGAATAGCGTCAGTCCTATGCACACAGAAGTATACAAGCCTGAAAGAGCCAGCCGCAGCAAATCCTCACTGACCCACACCGCAGAGACGAGAAAAGCCAGAAAAGTACTAGGAATAGAGCTATGGGCCTGATTCCAGCCCTGTGAATTCCTCACGCTCGGCACTGCCAGGTTGGTGTGTGCTTAGCGAAGACACTGACTGGCTTTGCTTATGTCAACTTTCACCCTGGCCCTCCTTTCAGGCAGAACTAGTCTCCTCAGATGTGAAGAGCCATTCACCGGTGGCCACGTCTGGAGGACTCCTCTAACCCCAGCTCACTGCCTTCCCGCTGATACTGATTCATGAATGCCAACCCTTAAAGGGTCACCACTTTGACTTCTGAAGGCCAAAGTTCCAAGCCCAATAATGCCAGTAGGTGTGACATATCAGCTTCCTCCACCTCCTTGATTAAGCTTATTATAACCTTTGAGTGCAAGAGTTGCAGGACAATCAGGCAGGTATCTAACGCTTAGGGTGGGAAGGTGGCAATGGCTCCAAGGCCAGCAAAGGACACCACAGGAAGGCCAGGGTTGTGAAGTAAGAACCTTCTTATTCAGGCTTCCTCTGAGACCCTAATATGAGGTGGCTACTTATTCTCTCTGTTCTGAGCCTTGGGACATTGTTAGCACTGTGTCCCTGATCTGTGGCAGAGCCTGCAGACCAGCATACGAGATGCCACCTCCATATAGCTGTGTGAGCTCAGGCAGAACAGCATCTGCCCGAGTCTTCTTACTGCACAAGGCTGATTTGCAGATCTTGCAATAGCATGTGACCTGCTCAGCACAGTGCCTGGAACCCCAGCTGTTGCCAAGCATGACAGTGGCTTAAACACTGAGTCATTGAGATTGCTACTGAGTGATCTCAGCGTTGTGGGGCCCAGGCCTTCCCTGGAAGTCAGGACACAACAGAATTCACCTCACTGTAAGAAAGCAATGGTTAATAGAAACAATGGGAAAAACGGCTTTTAAAATATGAGGACTGTCCATGCAGCATTCAACAAACCCTGGAAAAGTGGCTTGGATGTTGGAAAGGGAATGAAGGAATTTAAGGGGGGGGTTTGGGGGGGGGGGGGGAAGGTGTCAGGCCAAACAGCCCTAAATGTGCCCTCTAACTGGGATTCGGCTGATGAAGAAAGTCTGTTTTGTCTTTGCCTTAACTCTAAGAGAGACATGGGGCCTCCAGGCCATGTCTGACATTCCTAGAAAAAAGAATCAGAGCAGCCAGACCAAGACTGGACAGAGCATGCCCCGGACAGAGCATGCCCTCATCAGCCCTGGAGCTTGCTCCTGCTCCTTAGCCACCTGCCCCACTCACCATACACCCAGCCGATGCAGATCACCTCAAACAAGGAGAGGAAGAGCAGGCAGATGCCACTGGAGGCGTAGTAGTCAAAGAGCTGGAAGATGTACATCCCGCCCTGTGGAGGAGGAGCGAGCTGAGGCCTGTGCAGGACCAGCACCTGCTCCCACAGTGAGGTGTGCTGTCTGCCCTGCTCAGGAGAAACGTTTGACAGCTACAGTCTGTTCTGCCCGGTGCTGAGGTCAGGAACTACCATCAGCCTTGGGACAATAATTTCTGATACCACAAGGTGCTGGGAGTGGGGGACATGTGGTATATTATCTACCCAGCATCCCCTCTTGGTGGAACTGGTACCCCTCAGTCTGTTCCTCTTGGGTTGTGCCAGGCCTCTCTCATGCTGCAAGCCTAAGGAAGGGTCCTAGCCTGAACACCTGTCAAACTCAAGAGAAAGCCTGATTTGGCTGAATGAGAAAAGGTACCAAGATCAGAAACAGCCTTCTTTGTTATCACCAAGGAAAATCTGCCTGGGGGTCAAGGGGCCTGAGAAAAGGGAGATGGGACACAAGAAGGAACATGGCAGATAGTGTTGCAGGTAGATTCATGCATTTGATGGAAGCCAAAATAGCTCCAGACTTTGCTGTCACCTGACCCCATTCATTGTCTTAGGGCACTTTCTGTATGGCTCCCATCACCAGCACTTAGTCTAGAGATTGGGAGCTTCAACCTCACTGTGAGGGGGCAAATGGAGTCTAAGTCCCTGGACAGAGGAAAGGGATGGTTGTGAAGAGTCAGCAGTCTCAAGATGCCCTCTCACCTCAGTGACAAGAAGGAGCCCCATCAAGTAGCACACAATGGCAACAGCCAGGATCAGCAGCTCACGTCTCCCGCTCTTCCGGAGCTGCTGGGGGAACATGTCCATGGAGGCAGTCACCAGGCACTCCATACAGACAAACTGTGGGTCAGGAGAGTGGTGGGATGAGACAGTGTGCAGCCAGGGTACAGGTCTTGCCCAGCGCTGCCCCCACATGGCCCTGCCAGGTGTCACTCTATCTGCCCACACTGATGTGGGGGCAGGGGCAAGCCAGCCATTCCCTCAGCTACCACTTCATATCAAGGAACCCCAGTAGGGAAGGTTGGAATCGAGGTGAGATTCTGTACCCCGAGGCTGCGAAGGATGGGGCTGGACCATGAGTTTGGGGATGAGCTTCTGTAGAGCATCTGAGAGGGTGCCCATGTACAGGGGGGCCAACCTTGAGAGCAAAAGAGCAATTTCTTTCACAGCAGGAGCTCTCGAGCCCTGGGACCACCTATCAGCATCCCAGGCAAAAGACTTGAACCAGAGTGAGGCCTCTGATCCACAGTCAGGGAGAAGGTATACGAGGAAAAGTGCTACCAAGAGGAGCAGAAGCTAAAAAGGGGAACCGGGATGAGAGCTCCATACCTGGCTATCCAGCCCTAGAAACAGGAGCATGATGAAGAAAAGGCAGGACCACAGCTGAGACAAAGGCATCATCGTCACGGCTTTGGGGAAGGCAATGAAGGCCAGACCAGGACCTGCCAGGCACACAGTACAGTTGGATGGACTTCAGACCACTTGCTACCTAGAGAGTAGCCCTCTCCTTAGCACTGTGTGCACCCAGGAGTTCCTGGGGACATCTGCATGCATCTTGGCATGCCTGCCTGCGAGTGTCAATGGATGTCTGTGAGAGTCTGTGGGCTGTTAGTGTCTGTGTGTGTCTGTGAACTTCTGTGTGTGCATCGGTGTCTGGAAACGTGTGTGTGTGTGTGTGTGTGTGTGTGTGTGTGTGTAAGAATTACCTGCCAGCCTTTGTGGGCCTCTGTAAAGGTTTGTGGGCAGCCGTGAATGTCTGCTACAAATGTCTGTGTCTATGAACATCCATAGGGTCGATGAGAAACTATGCCTGTCTCTTAGCATCTGTGTGCATCTATTAATGTCTGTGTATGCCTTGATTTTATGTGAGGATCTATGTGTCTCTGTGAGCATCTATGAGTGTGGACTTCTATGATTTTTATGTGCTTCTGTGTTCATTTACCAATGCCTGAGTGTGCATGCATGTGTGTGTGTGTGTGAATTTATACACTTGATTCTTTGTGAATGACTAAATACATCTGTGTCCTTCTGTGAGCATCTGTGATTGTGCACGTCTGTGACCTCTGTGTGCCTCTGAGTGTCTGTGAGTGTATACTTCTGTGATCTGCGTGTGTCTCTGTGTGTCCGTGAGTATCTGTGAACATCTGTATGAGTCTTGAGCATTTTTGAGTGTCCACATGAGGATATGCCGTGAGCACCTATGTGTGCCTAGGAGCACTTGTGGGCATCTAGAGCATCTGTGATCTCTGTGTGCATCTGAGTAGGGCTGTTTCAAGAAAGAAGCTCATTCTATGTCATTGATCTCTTCCCTGTATGCTTATATTCTCTCTCTCTCTCTCTCTCTCTCTCTCTCTCTCTCCCTCTTCCTCTTTCTCTCTCTCTCTTCCTCTTTCTCTTTCTCTCTCTCTCACTCCCTCCCCCTCTCTCCCTCTGCTCCTTTCCTCTCTTCTATTCCACAGTTCTAGAAAATTTGTTAATGCCACACAATCCTCCTACCCCAAGCTAAAAAGGCTTCTAGCCCAAGTTACTGGGACACCTCCCTCTCTGCAGGAGGAGTCTGTGTTTTCTGACTCTCCACCCCAGAGCCCCCTACCTGACTCAGCCACTTCAGAAATGGGTATTCCCTGCTCTTGAGACATGAAGCCCAGGATGGAGAAGACGACAAAGCCAGCCACGAAGCTTGTGGCACTGTTCAGGAAGCAGAGGGCTATGGAGTCCCTGTGGGGATAAAGGAGATCAGATAGCGAAGGAGGAAGAGAAAAGGCAATCCAAAAAGGAGAGATCAAAAGGCAGAAGATTAAACAGAAACAAGAGGGAGAAAGATGGAGAAACCTAGAAGAAAAATGGGAAAGCAAGGAATGTAATATGGCAAACACTCACACAGACACACACACACACACACACACACACACACACACCAGATGTCAGGGGAAGAGGGGACCAGGAAAGGTGTCGACACAGGCGTTTCTTGGCCCCCAAGAGGCAGGGTTGCCCTTGCCTGCCCAACCCAGCAGCTCTCACCTGTAGCAGTTGTTGTGGTACTTGTTGTAGCTGCCGAGGGCTGTCAGGCACCCCTGGCAGATTGCAAAGGAGAAGAAGATCTGGGTGCCCGCATCCATCCACACCTACGTGAGGCCCAAGAAAGTGGTAGAGGCAACTAGGGCCTAGAGCTGTGGCTAGCAGAATGCAGCCCCTCACCACAGCAATCCCACTCCTAACATCCCTCACAGCATCATGCCTGCCTCCCGCTCCCCGCTAACTTGTCCTTGCCTTTCTCCACAGGCACCTTCTCACAGGCAGGACCCATTTCCAGTTTGGCTCTGTGAGCACCCAGGAAGCACCAACAGCTCCAGGAGCTACTTTATTCCCAGGCAGCAGCTACAGACCCAGGTGTAACCGGACCTGGTAAGGCAAAGCATCCCTGGCATTCCTTCAGCCAGTGTGTCTACATGACACCTTTGGAACTGTGACCTGGCACACAGGCTACCTCACAAAAATATAAAGAAATCCACCAAGACTTCTTGGTGGAAGAAAAAAAAATGTGCTTGGGCAGGTCCTAGAGGAGGAAATGCCAATGCATTCATGAGAAAAAGCCCAGCCCCATCATGCTATGAAGTGCTAAGTGACTACAAAGTTACCAATGAGTAAACACATTGTAACTAGGGCTGGGGTGTAGTACTGGCCTGAGATGCTGAATTCCATCCCTACAACCAGGCTAAAAAGTCAGCAGTGGGGTGTGCACTTGTAAGCCCAGTGCAGAACCCAGGAGCTCCCTGGCCAGGCAGCCTACATCCCAGACCTGTGACAAACACACCAGAGTGGGTGGGGAGCAACCAATCTTCAGATGCAAAAATATTCAGAAAAAAAATTGTACCTGTCCTAACAAGGACCAACTTTTTTCTTAGCACTGCTCCTGTATGGATGCAATAGAACAACTATTTATATAAAGCTGATATTATGGTGTTGTAAGAAATCTAGAGACAATTTAATGTGTGTGGTAGGATGAGCTTGGGTCAGACACAAATACTGCACCATTTCTAACAAGAGATCTGTGGGTAAAGTGTCATGGGCAATCACCCTCAGATACTGATAAACTGTGTCTATTTAAAAGTTGCCATCACCTCAGTATCTGAGGCCAGGGTTCAGTGTTCAGCAGGGCAGGGATATGGTCTGTTTTCTCCACTGTTCTACTAGCTGTAAGAGGCCCTGGGGATATTTTTGTTGAATGAATTATGTTTGGAGGGAATATTATACAGATGCTGAGGTAACATTTAAAGGTGAATTTAATGGCATGGAAAGGATCTATGTCTCCAAGTGAAATTATCTCAGGTGTGTTCACACATGCGCACCACCTGGAGGGGTGAGAGGAAGTGGACTGAGAGGTAAACGGTGCTGGTGGGTTCAGGAGCCTCCGTTCCTTCTTCACAGTTCTCTTCTAAGACGACTAGCTGTACTCCAGTGTGCATCTGGTTCTTTAAACCAATGAAAATCCATAGAAGACTTTGAAAGTACAGTAGAGTCTAGCAAAAACACATTTCAGCTAACAGTCCCCTCGTGGTTCCCACCTGGGGGTCCTTGAGGCGCAGCAAGTCCGGCTTCAGGTAGAAAATGATACCCTGGTAGGCTCCAGGAAGGGTGACACCCCGGATCAGGAGAATAACCAACATCAGGTAGGGAAAAGTAGCTGTGAAATAAACAACCTGGAGGAAAAGCAGGCCAAAGTCAGTTCTGGCATGGGTACCCAGAGGCAGGGGAGAGGTTGGGAGGAGGTGGGGGGGAGGCAGGGAAAGGCTAAGGGGTGGTGGAGGGGAAGGCAGAGGGGAGGCAGGGAGAGGAATGGGGAAGGCAGGGGAGAGGCAGAGGAGGCAGGAGGAAGCAGGGGAGGCAGGGGCAAGCAGGGGGAGGCACCAGTCTCCAGGGGTCACCCTGCCCTGCCTCCACCTGTCCCCAGGCAGAGCAGATCACACCATCACATTCCTCACAGGAGCTCAGACCTCAGACTTCATACAGACAGCTGCTGGCGAGCACATGAAACTTTCTGCACCTCCCTTTACACATTCCAGTGGCTCTTACTCCCCAGCAGGGTGTGATACACATCAGCGGGGACAGGAGGAGGGGACAACACAAGTGGGAAGAGTGGAGAGAAAGAAGCTCCCAGCCCAGAACCTGGCTGCCTCCATCCACCGTCCTGGGTACCCTCCCCCAAACCCCTGAGCATGGGTGCCTCTCCAGGAGGAAGGTGGCCAGGTTTGTCTGGCAATCAGGACTGTACTTTTCCAGTCATGGCCAGGGCAGCAGCAGTGACCTGAGAGTCCTAGGGACTCCAAAGGGACCCCATGCTGCCCTGACCATCTTGTGTCTGTCTGGGCATCACTACCACCACCATCATGACCTTTACTGTCGTGGCCTTTTTTGAGCGCAGCCCACTTTTTTGAGTATCACCACTTAGTTGTGAAATGTCCTAGGCGGGCCCAGGTGTTTGAATACTTGATTCCCAACTAAGGGTGCTATACTGAGAAGTTCTGGAACTTTTGGACAAGGGCCTTGGCAGTGGGATGGGCATTGTTACAACCCAGCTCTGCTTTCCACCCAAACCCTCGGCTTCCTGGTCAGCATCGTGTAATGACCAGCAGCCTCTGGTTCCTGCCACGGCAGTCATGAGCCACACTGTCCACCATGACCGCACTCTGTCAAACTCCACGCTGAAGTCAACCCATCCTTCCTAAAGGCATTCATCAGTTCAGGCACAAGAGCAATCAGAACACCCACAACCTGCCACTCTTGATTGTGAAAAGTATGTGACATCGGTCCCTGTTCTCTAGACTGGAAACGATGCCCAGATCTGAAATCTCACTATAGAACAAACCGGCTGGTGCCCATTCTAGGTTTAAGCCCCTTCACTGATCGGCACTTACCCCCAAGATGGCTCTGTTTGCTAATGTGTATGGAAACTCTTCTTCGTGTGTCATTTAAATACAACAGGCAAGTCATGAGAATGTGTGGCCCTTGCCGGGCGTTGGTGGCGCACACCTTTAATCCCAGCACTCGGGAGGCAGAGACAGGTGGATCTCTGTGAGTTCAAAGCCAGCCTGGTCTACAGAGCAAGTTCCAGGACAGGCTCCAAAGCAATACAGAGAAACCTGTCTTGAAAACAAAACAAAACAAAACAAAAACCAAGAATGTGTGGTCCTGTCATATACAATGGAGACAGATACACGGATGCACACATGCAAAGAAGTGTAGGAGACACTCCGCCCCCACCCCCACCCCCCATATTGCTGACAGCTTGGAAGCTTGGAAACCAATGAGCTCCAAAAGTGAGACTCTTATGGTTTATTTTGCTCTAAATGTTGCTTAAACGGGTCTTTTGAACCCTGTTTGGGGGGGGTCTCCCCTTGTATTGAGCTAAACCCCATGTTCCTGCAACTTCACCTATTCTTGTATGTATCTCTCTCAAACTGTGCTCTTTCTTTCTGCTGTCCTGAGGGGCCCTTTCAAGTGTCCCTGGGCACTCTGTGACTAAGTGCTCATCAGGAGCCAGGATACCTTACCTTGCCCGTGGTCTTGACCCCCTTCCAGATGCAGAAGTAGCAGATGACCCAGGCAAGCAGGAGACACAAGGCCAGCTCCCAGCGCAGGGACCCCAGGTCATGGATGCCAGATGTAATACCCAGAACCCGTCTCCTATGGGATCGGGAAAAATAACCAGTTGGAAGACCAAAGGGGACAACCTGCCTGTGTCACCAAGTCCCTGATTCAGAACTGACCCAACAGATAACATTCCCCAGGGCTTCCACACCCATGATGTCCCCAACCTCTCCATGGCCGTGCCGTGTTCCCACCTGTGGTCTGAGAGCCCCTGGCTGTTAGAGGACCAAATCACTGTAATCCCACAGGTATCTGTGCCTTTCTAACTCACCCGGGTTGCTCTGTTGCACAGAGAGATGAAGGAAATGAAGGAAGTGAAAGCATTGAAACGGGGAGTGAGTGATGGCGAATAGACGCACAAGGGAGGGGATGCTGCCATCTAAAGATGAGGGTGGAGGTGTGTGTGCAGAGGAGAGCGCTCAGGTAACCCCGAAAGGGCAGGTGAGAGGGCATGGGTAGCCAGGTGAGCGCTGAACGCGTGCAGGGCCAATCGGTGTGAGGGCACGGGTAGACCATGAGGAAAGGCCGGAAGTGAACACGGTCTGCAGAGGTGTGCGCGGGCACGCAGGAGGGAGAACGGCGGGCACATTTCTGTGGTGCAAATACCAGTCAGTGTCAAGCTACCAACCTGATACCAGCACACCCAGTTTGGAAGAGATGCACACAGCTGGCTGCCAGGAGACAATAAAGATGGCTCCTGTCACCCTGTGAACAGCTGTCCGCGGATGTGAGGGTGCAGCTGGAGTGTGGGGATGGCATAGGAGGACAGCCATGAGAGTGAGTGGAGGCAGATGGGAAAATGCAAGTTTGTACAGACATGTGAAGGCCTAGGGTGAGAGTGAAGGTATAGATAGGAAGCCAAGGCTGAATGTGAAGGCCCCCTACCCCTCAGTGATGTGGACCTTGGAAGCAAAAAAATAAGTCACGCTAGAAAGCACACACAGAGTCTTAGGCATGCATCAACATCCAAAAATCTCGTGGTAAGTATGAAGGTATAGACAGGCAGTCAAGGCTGAATACGAAGGCCCCCTTATCTCTAGATCATGTAGGTCTGTCTCGGGGCAGAGGATGTGTGGTGCTGGAACGCATGCACACTCTTACACACGCACCACCAACGTTCAAGCCTGCACAATCCAGGCTCCCTGTGCTTAGGGCCCCTGGAATATCACAACCAGGCCCGGGACCTACTCCCAGAATTCCATGACAGGTGAGGTGAAGTTCTCAGAGTGGTTCACTGCGGTGGCCGCTGAGTGGTTCAGAAAGTCCACGCAATGCTCTGTTGGGGACAAGGTTGGGATGCATATAAGTTGGGGACCAGATGAGGAAAGATGCCCTCGCGCTTACCCTCTGACCTTGCAACCAGAGCTTCCCATGGTTTCTAGGCCCAAGGGTTTCCTCAGGAGCCAGCGTGTCGCTGGGACTGGCTCCTCTTCCCTGTATAAATTGTGTCCACTGCACGTGTTCCCAGCGAGTCTGGCTACTCCCATGAATGCCCTGACTGACACCCTCCAGGACAATACAGAGCACAGACGTGCACCACCCACATGGGCAGCTCCCCTCAATAGCCCACCATTGGCCTGCCCATTGTGCTGCTCTGATTTTTCATCCTACAGACAAAAAACAGAAAACCCAGTCCCTGGAATCCCCCAATACTGGTCTCAAGATGGGCTCTTTCCTCTTCCGTTGTTCTGTAATTGTGATACTGTTTTTCCCACCCATCAAGGTAAAGTCTGCTTTGTTGACTCATCTACCTCTACCATAGCCAGGTCAGACAATGTGGGGTCCTATCAGCCCTTACTCATTTTTGGCAGTGTTCGATGCATGAGACATGCCCAAGAACATTTGCTAAATCGAGGCCTGCTGTGGTTGTGTAACAGCACCATTGATTCCCCCAGGGCTCACACACAGAAGGCCCAGCCAGTAGAATTGACAGCAAGGCCCACATAGCTCAGCTATAAGGCAAGGTCTGTGACACACTGTGTCATGAGCCACCAAGGACCAACCTCACGGGCAAGGCCCCACTTCAGGGCTGACACACGGATACCTGTGTTCCAGGAGTTGCTGCAGGTTGTCCAGGGCAGCTCCCAGGTGAAGGAGCTGAACAGGTAGAAGAGAGCCCAGGCAAGGATGATGATGTAGTAGATATTCAAGTAAGACTCAATGACCACAGACGCCATGCCAATGCCTTCAGGGGCAAAGAGAGTCAAAGAGACCAACATGAGCAAAAAAGGAAAGGAAAGTCACATGGGTTCTGCCAGTCACGTGTGCCCCTCCACCGAGCTTCATATCATTCATTTTCTTACATATCCTCCCATTGTAGTGATAACATTCCTCCCCCTCCCCCATCTCGGTCGTTATCCCGTCTCTACCTCTATTTCTCCCTGCCTGTGTTTTCTACTTTTCTATTACCATCATATATCACTTGCAAAATGAAAACTGGAGAAGTGGGAAGGAGAAGGGCGAGCTTGGAAGCCAGTGAGGAAGAGTGACGCTGGAAGAACTTGGTCTCCTCAGTAGAATCTAGCTTGGGGAATTCTCACAGCGCCCTTGGCTGCAGTGCTTGGCTGAGATGGAGCCCCACTAAGGGTTTCCTGGATGCTATAAGAGACCAGCTAATACCCCAAGAGGTGCAGCTCCCAACTATCCTCACCTTTCCCCAGTGTTTGGTCAGGCAGCCTTCTCAGGAGCCAGGGTACCCAGTGCTCATCAGACACTCAATCTAGTCCCTTCCTGGACCAAATAACCCAGTAGCCTGGTCCCTTATGGTCCTTCAGGTGCTAGCATGAAGAAAGAACCCTCTCTGCATCTGAGGTGTAAGGGATATCTCAGACAAGGAGGCTCTTGGGCCCTCCACTGCATCTCAGGGTCTGGCCAAGCCACTAACGGAGGCTGGTGAAAACCACCCCAGGGGCTTGTGTCCACCCCACAGATCTACAGAGAAGAGCACGCTTCCCGTAACAGAGGCAAGAAGAGAGGGGTGCAGAGAGCCCTGGTTCAAACTCCCAGACAATGCCCCCCTTTCTTTCTCTATAGAATGAGGTCAATGGAGTGATGAGAGGCCTGGTAATGGCACGCACGTAAAGCGCTCACACGAACACTGACACGGTATCACCATCAGCAGCATTACTGTGCTTGTGTCCTTTGAAGTCTGCTTGGGTCATGACATAGAGTCAGAGACATACTTTCCCCTGGGGCACATGAAGGTTAAAGTTCAGGTTCCTGGCTGCATCTTCCAATATCCACACGTAATTTGGTACCTATAATTCTGTACTGTTTCTCTGGACATGTCCTTCTCCCCTGGGCATCTAAGCTTTGGTCCTCAAGAGACTGATTTCACAAGTCACAGAAGAGGATGCCATGGAGAGTAGGGCTGGGAACAGGACGGCAAGAACAGTGACAGCAACAGAAGCAGGCAGGATGGTGGCTCTAAAGGCAGAAAAGGGGAAGGGTGACACTCACCTTGGAGGAGGGGACAGATCTTCCTCCAAGCAGTAACACTTCCCTGGCTGCTGTACTGGCCCAGTGCCACCTCCAGGAAGAACACTGGGATGCCACAGCTGAAGAAGAAGATGAAGTAGGGGATGAAGAAAGCTCCTGATGGAAAGAAAGGCAGAGTCTGAGTCACTTGCTGCTTCGAGACCTTGAGCTCCCCTCCAGCATCTCAACCCTCAGCCTCCTTCCTCACACACCCAAGACCCACAGTGTCTCCCTCTGCCTGGCTTCATGCTGTCGTGGACACCCAGCAGATGACGTGAGGCCCAAGTAAGGCAGGCAAAGTCTTTGGAGGGAAAGAAATGAATCTTGAGATGGAAGCTCCAATAAATGAACTATTTGCTGTGTTTTACAAATCAAATCCCATATTAGTTTTGAAAGAGAAACATGTGTCCTGTATAATTTGACACGCTTCTTAAAAACGATACAGATGCTGCATTTTAGAAACAAACAGACAAAGCCAGCTTGGAAGCATTCTTTTCTCACCGATAGTTTTCAGAGGGCTTTTCTCCTTCCTTGGGGTCTGTTTGGTCTGCCGGTCCTGCAGCAAGCCCTACAGGGACCCGTGGAGCTGTGCTGAGGTCCTCTCTCAGCCCAGAGGTCCCTCAGGGGAGAGGGCTCTTGTTCTGCAGCTTAGCAGCACATCCTTGGTACTTCCTGTGCCCGACCCTCTCCTAAACCCTCACAAATCAACCTCCCACCAGGGAGATGCTGCTGTCATCCTTTACAGATAAGAAAGCCAGCCCAGGTTGAAAACACAAGAACTAAGGTATAGATGAGAAAAGAAACACACCACACCAGGCATCCTGACCCTGAGGCATCCTGATGCCTGACTCCTGACCACTATGATGTGGCTGTGCCATAAGGCCTCTGAAGTCAAGCCACCCTCCTGCTGAGGAGGAAAGCGGGGGGGGGTGGGGGGAGCACAAAAGGAAAGGAAGCAGAGCATTGTACAGCTCCTCCAGAAGTCTCCTCCCAAACTCCCTCCCTTCCTCCCTCTCTCCCTCCTTCTCCCTCCCTCCTTTCCCATCTTTTGTTGGTGGGTACCATGCTAGAACAACAACCCAGGGCCTCATACTCCGGCAATTCTTTTAGAATCTGCTTGGTCCTCTTTTGCTAGACAAGGTCACCCATCTGACCTTGATCCCATGATGCTCCTGCCTCGGCAATCCCTCCAGACCCTCCCTCCAGATTTCTTGTATACATTTCTTCTGCACAAAAGCAATGTACTTTATGTGATTTGGACACCATTTTAAAATTCACATCACACACATCTTCATGTCAATAAATACTTGACACCATTTCAGTGCCCATAGAATGTTCTGGTGTGGGAATGGTAGTTTTTTAGTATTTTATCACTGGACTTTTAGTATCGTGCTTAGTTTTTTTATCAGAGTGAAAACCACCCAGATCCTTGTTGGGTTTGCTCCTTACGCACATTTGCTTAGACTTCCTCTTTTCTTAGTGTGTATGGACATGTTAAAGTATATACAATGTGAGTGTGCACATTTTTTATTCAATGTACAATCTCATAGCATTAAAGTGTTCTCAGTGTTGTACATCCATCTCCAGAACTTCTTCATCTTCCCAAGCTGAAACTCTGAAGCCATCCAAGTTTAAACAACAACAAAAAGTCAACCTGGAAATCTATGCCAAGTGGTAATGATAACAGTCTTCCAGAAAGTGGATGAAAGTATTTTGACATAAACTGAAACCATAAGAAATTGTTGCTAACAAATGCAAAACAATTTTTTCAAGTAAAAAGAAAATTATAATAGAAGCAAGATGAGCCAGAAGGAAGTTTTTAAAGATGAATTCTTAGCCGGGCATTGGTGGCACACGCCTTTAATCCCAACACTCGGGAGGCAGAGGCAGGCGGATCCTCTGTGAGTTCGAGGCCAGCCTGGTCTCCAGAGTGAGTGCCAGGATAGGCTCCAAAGCTACACAGAGAAACCCTGTCTCGAAAAACCAAAAAAAAAAAAAAAAACATGAACTCGGCCTCTTCAGGCTGTCAATGATATTCTACTTTCTGCCTCTATGAATTTCCCTACTCCAGGCACCTCACAATTAACACATGAATGGGACCCTAGTGTTTGTCCTGATATATTTGTTTCATTAATCATGTCTTCAAATTCATCCATGTTGTAGTATGCACCATAATTCCCCTTTAAAGACTAGCTAATGGGACTAGAAAGACAGCTCAGCTATTAAGAGATGTCTTCCAGAGGACCTGGGTTCAGTTCTCAGCATCCATAAATCCAGTTCCAGGGACCCAACACTCTTCTGACCTCTGTGTGTACGCAGAGGCACACAGGTGCACATGCGTGCATGCAGGCAAATAGCCACACATGTAAAATAACATAAATTTAAAAGAAAAAATTTAAATAAATAAAGGCTAGCTAATGCCCCTCCTGTGTAGATACCATACTTTGAAGAAGGGATCTTCACAGGAAGTCCACAGAGGCACATATGGTCCCTTCCTACCAGCTGTGGGAACACCTTTCCTGTGTCCCTGGAATGTGGGCTTTCACCCCACAGAAGATGTGGAGTTCCAGAGACAGGCTTTCCTCAGGCCTTCTTGGGGCTGGGTGGAGGCTGGCTCTGGGTATAGTGCAGGGAACCCTTGCATATGGCTCTCTCCTGAGCTTCCAGCACATTGGCACTGCAAATGTCCTCTCCCCAAATGGGCTGATCTAACCCCAGCCTGGGGACACTGCCTGGAGACAGCCTCATGGTGTGTTCCCAGCTGTGTCCATAAGCAGGCTGACAATGTCCATGGGGACCATAGCCAGCCCAGGGATTCAGCTGCAGGTTTTTTAGACGTTCCCTCCATCTGCTCAGATCTACCTCAGGCAATGGTCTGGTCACTGACTCTTCCCTGAAGCACAGAATCACAAAAAAGACTTAGAGAATGTTCTGTCTGGGATGAGACATTTCTTAAGGATGGCTAAGTTTAGTGGCTTCCTCTCCCAGAAGCTCCTTCTCTGCAGGGCTGTGTTTATTACCCAATAATCAATTAATCTCTCAACATATCTTAATAAAAGGTGAATTTCCACCCAGTAGGGCCTGTGGTCAGGGGGACTTAAGCCCTTTTGTCGCAAGGAGTTAGAACAACTCTAGCCTAAAGCAAGACAATGACATTTGGGTTAATCTGTGACACCATGTTCCCATTTAAATCTATTCCCAGATTGTCTAGAATAAAGAAAGAACTAAATCCTAGTCCTTCTTATTATTTTTCTAGAACCTCCAAAAGCTGGTGACTCTGAGGTGGAAGCCAAGGCCTCATTTAGTCCCTCGTGTTAAAGATGAGGGAAAGAAAGTTGAGGTGGAAGCCAGTCAGCCCAGGCATAGTCAGCCTCTGATAACCTTGGAAGAATTTTTCCAGAACCATTTGGATGCCAGACCCCACCAAGCTCAAGCCTCTTATGTAAAACAGCACAGTCTAGATACAAGACCCAGCCACAGCTTCCAACTCTCTTTAAGATGTTAGACTGTACTGTCAAGGAATGCTACGAAAAGTCTGTGTGTTCTTAGTACAGATGCAATTTTCAAAAGCCTATTTTTGACCCATCAATGCCTAACCTGTGTCAAAGGGTTGGACATACCTGTTAGATATTTATCAGCTTAAATACAAATAGGGTTTAGAACGTGCTTCAAACAATGATTATCTCTAACATGTTTCCTCTTCCTGGAACAGTTCTGACACTACAATGAGAATATGTCACTTCTGCAAGAAGAACTACCGTCCAGACCCAAGAATGATCCCCTTGGTCACAGACAACCCCTCCTCCACATTCTTTACCTCTCCTCAGATGTTGTCCAGAGTCCCTCTCCCTTTCCCCTACTTTCCTCATTGTCACTCAACTGTCACCATGACATGTCACATGTGTGTCTTGCCTGTGATCTGCAGCCTTCATCAGAATGCACACAGGCCAAGTTCTGGCTTGCGTCTAGAACAGAGCCTTGGCTCATGAGAGGTCTGCAGTCATGGGAGCTGAATGAGTTAGTTAATCAATGAATGAATGAATGAATCCTATTAGCCACTATCATCTGTCAGAGGTAATACAGAAGTTAAGAACCCAAGCCCCATGCTTCTGCTCATTGTCTCTCTTACATCTCACACAGTCCTGAGTAATATGTCACCCCAGTTCAGGAGGGACCACTGAGGCTAGAGATGGAACTGGGCCCCAACAAGAGCCTTCCAGATTCATGGCAGGATACAACACTCCCCACCACACCACTGAACACAAACTCACCACCTCCATTTTTGTAGCAGAGATAGGGAAACCTCCAGACATTGCCTAGTCCAATGATCTCCCCAGCCACTGACAGCACGAACTCCATCTTGTTGGTCCATTGGCCTCGATCCTCCACCTGGTCCTTGCCTTTCTCTCCCTCCTCAGGGACCCAAGAGACCACAGGATACCCATCTTCATGGACTGTGACTTTTCTGTCCATACTGGATAGGGAGACCCTGTAAGGGAAGGCAGGATTGTGAGAGGCGGAAACCTGGCAAGGGGAGAAAGGGGACTGCATATACCTCCCCCCACACACACCCTGCACACCAATCTCCCTTCACCCTGATCTTTCCAGACCAGTCTCACCGCCTATTGGCATATTACCTTTCTTCCCAAGCTCTTGATGCCATTTCTACCTAAAAGGTGACACTGCTCTCAGAGTTATGAGGCTGAGTCAACAGGAAGCAGACTCTAGCTTGCCAAGTCTTCGGCAGACAAGGCGATGGACGAAGCAGGTTTTCAGGGGTCAGAGACTTGCCCAGCACCACCCAGGGGTAGAGCTGTGACTAAAACCCCATCCCTGAGGACCTTATAGCTCAAATCCCTTTTGGTCTTTATAACCTGACACCATCCCTGCTGGCCCTTCTGTCCAGATCTTCAATATACTGTGAATAACAGCAACCTGGCCTCTGGCCTCCAGACCAGAAGGGCTAAAAGGCTGGCTGCCAGGGGTGCCGGGGTTAAAGGGCAGGTTTGGCTGAGGTGGCTCATGGGGCTTTCCTGAGCAGCTGGGATCAATGGAGGCCTGGTAAACATGGGAGCTGGTTCATTATAGGCTCTGATTGGGAGGGAGGGAGAAGGTGGCGCCTCTAAGTAAAGACCAGCTGAGGACGGGGTTGGCATTAGTGCCAGCTTTAGGCCTTCAAGGGAAGCCATTTCTTTGTATGTCTGTCCTGAGAAAGGTTGGGGACCCAGGGGCTGGGAGGTGGTCACTTGGATGGTGGTCATTTCAAGATGACCTCAAAGTGCTGAATGCCTGGCTCTCACAAGGACAGTCTGGCAGGAACTGCCTGCCCATTGTGGCTGCTGCCATTACCTTCCCCCTGACCTCTGAAAAGTCCAGCACTCCCCAAGCTTCCATAGGCCACTGTCTGTTTTCTGTCCCTCTTGTCTATTTGTCAATGGCCAGGAGGCAAATTGCATTTGGAATCTATGTTTGCTTTCTCATCCCTCCCTCCACACAGCTGATCATGCTGAGGCCACTACTGGCCCTCCTCCCAGGGAAATGCCAAGGAGGAGGTGCCTGGACTGTCAGGGAAGCACTGTCCATTGGCCCTCCCCTCCAGGGAACACTCAGGGAATCAAATGACCAGGTCCACCACCACGCACTCCATACTCCTCCAGGGCTCTGAGGAGGCACAAGGGAGTCTTTTTATGAAGGAAAACTCTGTGTTTACTTGTTGGTCCTTTTAACCCAGGCAACAGCCCAAGCCCGAGTCCGTTAGAAAGGCGTGGGCAGAAGCCAGCTAGGGTTGTGGAAAATTTTGAAGGTGACTTGGAGGGTGCAGGCTACCCCAGGAATGAGAAGGCATGGCAGGGCGAGGTTCTGGAATTGGGATATACTCAGAGTTTCTAACTACAAGTTCCATGCAGGAAAAGGATAACGAGGGTAGCTGGTATAAACTCAGGGTGCCAGCCTCAAACGCAAGGGAGAAGGGGGGAAGGGCTCCAGGCTGCAGAGCCAGAGTCCATGGGTGCTCAGTCAGTGAGGCCTGAACCCAGACAGAACTGAATCTCTGGCACCCTGCGGAATGGCCCCTGAATCATTTCTAAATGACAAACAAACCAAGGGCTAATGAATGAGCTGGAAACACCGCCACAGAAGCACCAGGCAGGAAACCAAGTTCACCCAGATTTGCTAATTACAACAACGAAAGGTTAACATTTGATCAACGTGGGACTAAAGACGTTCTTATACCCACTATCAGATGGCATCCTGACAGTCTCTGAGTCACTACTACTACTGGATCTGCATTACAGGTGAGGAAGACAGCTGACACACAGCAATGCCCACTTAAAATGGAACTCAATTTACCAACAAGTGGGAGGACTGACTCTTGCTTTGTGACTTAGACAAACAACTCCTCGTCCCTGAGCCTGAAATCTAGAAGAGAGAATGACAGGTGAAGAGATGTGTAAAAGACCATTAACAGGCTGTTGTTGCTTGCCAAGCCATGGGCTAGCTGGGCTCGGAGTGAACCCCACACGCAAGGAATCCCAAGGGAGCTGGCAGAAGACAACCCTCCATGCTCTTGCAGCTCCTTGCAGCCACTGCAAGATGAAGATGGTCTCAAGAGTTAGAGGGAAGACCTGGAGGGAAAAGAGGCAAATGAAGGAGTGAATGAAGGGATAGAGGAGAGTGGGGTCAGGGAAGCAAACCCAGAGCCCAGTGCAGGCTTGAGGTTGAGCTTTACCAAGGATGAGAAGGAAAAAGAAAACCTGAGATGATGAATGGACATGGACATGAATTTTCTATAAATCAAAAATTGGGGCTGGAGAGATGGTGCAGCTGTTAAGAGCATTGGCTGCTCTTCCAGAGGACCAGGGTTTAATTCCCAGAGCCCACATGGTGGCTTATAACTGCCTATAACCTCAGTCCTAGGAGATCCCTCTTCTTGTCTTCTCAGGCACCAGACATGCATGTAATGTTCAGACATGCATGCAGACAAAACATCCAGGCACATAAAAATAATCAAATAAAATTCTTCAAGAGATTTTTGAGAGGAGCTTTTATCATAGGCAAGAATGGAAAACTGAGGCAGAATGAACTCGAAGGCACGAAAAAAGAGACGGAACCTAAAGCCACAGTGACTGGAGGGAAAGAGGGCTAAACCACAGCAATGGATACTTAAGTTAGACTGGTGGGGTGTGGGCGGGGGAGAAACACAGCACTGGACATTTAAGTTACACTCAGGGGAAAAATGTCCAGGAGAACAATAGCCATAAAAACAAGTTTCACAGAGCCTTGTTTACTTTTTCATTCTTATTACTTGTAAAAGCACAAGGGCCAGTATGGTAGCACATGCCTGAGATTTCCAGAACTCAGGGTAGAGGCAGGATGGTTCAGTTCCAGGCTAGACCAGCTACATAGTCAGAGCCTGTCTCACAAAAACAAAAACAACAACAAATCCAAAAGGACAGCTCCACCCCCAAGGTGCCCTTCCACCTCTAGTCTGTTTGCTAGGAATGATTCAGTGACAGCAAAGACGACTTGTTACACACACACACACACACACACACACACACACACACGCAAGCTCCGTAGGTCTCTTCTACAGGCTGTCCAGGCTGGGGCAAGCTGGGGCAGGCTGGGGGCAGGGAAGGGACTTCACCATACTTGGGTGCCCTTGAGCATATCCTGGGCTCTGTCTTCAAAGGACAAGAAAGTACAGTCTTAACTCTTCTCAAAGCCAGGCAGGTTAGAGAGAAGCCCACTCGGTTCTAGGAGGCACTCCAGAAATTTTGCCCCCCCCCCATACTGCTAGATTCTACTCAGGCACCTTCCCCCCCATTCCAGCGCAAGAGAGACAGACCCAGCCCCGCTCCAGCCTATGCCCACATACCAGCACCCACCCCTGCACACCCTGGTGCCATTCCGTCACGTCCCTTTGCACACACATACCTGTGTGCATGGCCCCAAAGCCTGGCTCCTCGTAGCCCTTCACACCTGGTAGGCAGCTGGGCTCCACAGTGGTAACCCACATCTTCCACAGCCCCTCCTCAGCTCCAATCCCAGCCTAGGTGGCTTCCCCGTCTTGAGAGGAGCTCAGGCTTTCTGTGCTGGCCCTGGCTGGCACCCCCAACCTGTGACCGTTAGTTCCAGATCCATCCACTCACCCTTCCTGCCTCTGGGAACCGACCGCCCTCCCCTGGCCAGCCGATGACCCGCCTCTTTCACCCACTGCTTAGGGCCAGCTCCCCATGGTGGATTGTCCTACTACTCAGGCTTGTCCCTGAGCAATTCCATGGTGTGGATAGTGAGGGGACCGGTAGCATTGCATTAGAGCATGCCCAAAGGTCAGACTCCCTGTGCCCTCAGGCAACCAGTTCCCTGCTTCGTGCCCAGACACAGCCCTCCAGACCTAGGGGTACAGACGCTATGGGACTCCAACTGAAAGCTCTGCTCCTCCGCAGGCTTGCCACTCACCTGGTCTCTCGCCTCAGCTAGAGCTCCTGCTCCCAAATGAGTAAGTGCCTCCAGACCTGGAAGAGGAATTCTCACCTTCAGCTCTCCTGCTCCTCCCTGTCACAGCCCCACCCAGTGGTCCCGGGACAAAGATAAAGAGACAGACAGACAGACAGACAGACAGACAGACAGACAGACAGACAGACAGACAGACAGACGGGGGTGGACAGAGAAATACCACAAGCAGCAAGAGAGGCTGAATAAGTCTATAAACCAGGATTACAACATCTCCCCTCTGGAAGTGAAGCTCTCTAACCCTGTCTCTCTCTCCCCTCCAGTCCCCTCCCTCCTATCTAGTGTCTTCCCAGTGGGCACTGTCTAGGAAAAGCCCCCCAGAGCCTTGCTGAACTGCTGCCGTGGGCATCCCTACCTCCCTGACCTCTCTCCTCCTGCTCCCAGCCCCTTACCTTCCTCTCGCCTCCACCCTTAAAACTGGCTCCTTCTCAGGCAAGGTACAGCCCCTCTTACCAGAGCAGTGGGATGGTAGCCACCAACTTCCAGGCTGGACACTGAGGACCTTGGGAGGGGAGCTGGCCTCAATGACGAGGGCATGGAAGGAGGGTGAATCACACACTGGAGTTTTCCACCAAGTACCTGGCCTCTGTGGCTCCCCAGTAAAGCCCTAGACCTTGCAGCCACTGCCTTCTCCTTGGGATTTTCCTAGAGAAAGCTCCAGAGTCTGCATATCTCAGGAAGGGAAATGCAAATAGGATCCAGGGCACAGTCCTCCCACCCTGACGTTCCTGTCCTCCCTCACCACGGCCCAAGGTAGATTCTGAGCCTCAGTTTCCCACTTTGGACAAGTGGATGGTGTGTGATTTGCAGGGTTGCTGTGAGGGTTGAAGTCAATCACAGGTACTTAAGGAGAGCTGTCAGTGTTTGCTGTGGGCTCTGGTAGGGTTCTGGGATCCAGGCGCTGTGATTCTGGGTGACATGGAGCCACACACCAAAGGCTCATCCAAAAACAGCCTAGCAGCTGTCAAATGTGAATCCACGTGCAGAATGTGTGTCCCCTAGGCCATGGTGGGGGGATTTTCCAAACCAGGGCTCTGTGTGTGTATGTGTGTCTTCACAGCGTGGAAATGAAAAGGCCCGTGGCCTCTGGGAAAACCGAGATGCTTCTTCAGGGCCGGGTGGTATGGCAACAGGGGAAGTTGTGGGGAGAAAGGGAAATTTCCCTTTACGTGGACTTCCCCTTTGTCTGCTACAACTTCCTAGCAGTGGAGGGTGTGAAGTGAGACTGGCAGTCTGTAATTTTCCACTGGCACCCCCTCACCATCCCTCAGGCCCCCTTTGGCCTCTGTTTCCCATCAAGGAAAACCAGAATGAGGCTGGCTCTCAACCCCTTTACCTCTACGAAACCAGAAGTGGGGCTGGGGACTAGCTCTGGAAGAAAGAGTCATGGCCTGCCAGAATCCACACACCTCTCACTCCCATGCTCAACTGGCAGGGTGCAGCCTGCCCTGCTGGGTCTGCTCTATCTTGGCAGGTTGGGCCCGCCATCATGCCCCCTCCCTAGTGCTTCATGCACCAGAGACACCAGAGTGTATGAAAAACAAAGGACCCAACTTTGCCAGTCTGACTCTCTCCCCATTCTTCCCAGTGAGTAGAATCTGATTTTACCTAATCCTTCCCCATGTTTACCTGGCTACCTCAGACCTTTGTCTCCCTATTTTAATGTCTGCCCTCCTTAACCAAGCTCATCCCAACTCAAGAAACCAGAGACCATGTCTTTGCAAACACCTGCAAAGTGCTGTGCTGAGTTGAAATGGATATACAATCTTGCTGCAGGAAGAACCATTGGCATTTATCACTTTCTGACCCCATGCATGCTCACAGGGAAGGGGCATGGAGCCCATTTTCTGAGCTCCTAACTTGGGCTGGATACACCATGTATCGCCTCCCTTAGGAGCCTTGAGATATGGATATTAAGGACTCTCTTCTTGAGGAGACTGCTGGGGTGAATAGAAGTGAAACAATTCAACCCATGCCCATACACAGTAATTGGAGAGCCTGGGATCTGAACCTGTGTCTCTGGATTCCATTATTGCATGCTCCTTTCTCAGATCATGAACAGCTAATGGGCAGGAGTCTGATTGCATGAGTCTCCACTGCTGTTTTAGCATTTAATACATGCTGCCTCAGAGCAGACCCTTGGCCTGTATTGGATGGATGGATGGATGGATGGATGGATGGATGGATGGATGGATGGATTGGTGGATGGGGAGAGGGAGCGAGGAAGGGAAAGAGGGAAGGAGATAGATGCAACTGCAGGAGAAATTGATCGTACTCATTCCTTTGCTGGGACAGCACATGCTGGTCTCTCAGAACCAGGGGCAGAACAGGACATGAAGGGCTCCAGTACCACCTTTTCCTGGACAATTCCCCATACTGAGCAGGGACATTGGACCACAGGCTGTTTGGGGGAACGTCTTCCTCACCTCACTTAGCTCAGTAAATATACATCCTTCTTCCTGAGAGTGAGAGGTAGAAGCTGTCCTGAACACCACCTGGGCTTTCCTGCTATGAGGAGAGCCACTGTTGAGGTGCAGACATAGTACATGGGAGGGTTTGCCAAAGTGTTTCCAGGGGAGCTGCCTCTGCTAGAGGCTGGTGATGCTGTTGGGTGACTGGTAACATTAGCATATTTAGAGGAAAAAATTGAGCATCTGAGGGCTTCGTTTGCCTAAGTTATTGAGTATGAGAGTCAAGGGTCAAAGAAGGCTGGAAGGCTGTGAAGATCTCCTGGGTAGGCTTTGCATAGGCACACATTGTCTAGGGCTCACCAGGGGCTGTGTGCATATGCCTGAGTGTGAACCTTGGGCAGCTGAAGTCTCCAGGCAGCCTAGTAGGCTCAGTGTCTAGTAAGTGCCTCCCTGATGCCCTGAGCATCTTCTCTGACGTCAGTAGTTCCAAGCCCTTTGCCTTCTCCTTAAGAGATCACTTCCCATAAGGCTCTCCTGCCTGCCTGCCCACCCGCCTGCCCACCAGCCTTCTCTAACTGTGTGGCCTCCCCTTCCTACCCTGCTTTCTTCTTCGGGGTACTGCAGGATCCAGTCTCTGCCCTTCCAGGTAGAGACACAGTTCATAGTTCTCCTCCATTCTTCACCTCCTCTCTGCCCCAACCCCAGCCAAAGTCAAGTACTATAGAAGTGCCAAGTACCATGGAAGAAGCTCCCAACCCTGACGACACCTAGGCTCTAGGCTCTAGGCTCACACCTAGACTATAGGTCACTCATACCTATAATCTCAGCATTTGGGAAAGTTGAGGCAGGAGGATCTCTGTGAGTTCAAGGTCACCCTGAGCTAAGGCTGAGATCCTGTCTAAAAACAAAACAAAAGCCAAAATGAAACCGTGTTGACCAAACCTGACCACACCAGCCTCATTTCTCACATTCCCACCTGTCAGCCCTACATGGATAGCCTGGTTTTTCTCCCACGCCTGTCCCAATACTTTACTAAAAGAACACTTGGGCTCCTGACTCCATTTGAACCCTGTAATAGGCCTGTGTGGGTGGGGTACATTTTTCAGGTTACCCACACCTGAAAAATGAGCATGAATGACAAGGAGTTTCTACCAAGACATGTCATGAGGGAGACACAAGTCAGGGACAGAGCCAGTTCCCTGGCTGTTAGGCTATAACACAATGTTTGCACACTATTTATTCCATCATTTGTGAGTCTTGTGAGAGGGACTCACCTCACTGTCACTGAAGAGATTTAGAAAACGTCCTCAGCATATTTAGAAAACTTTCGTCAAACAAGGGACCAGAGAGACAGATAGCGTACACTCAGAATGGCCTTCCCAGTCACCCTCCATGACTCCCTCTCAGAACACTTTGTTCGTTTGTGAAGGAAACTGCTTCTAGGCCAGGCACGGTGGTGCACACCTTTAATCTCAGCACTCAGAGGCAGAGGCAAGTGGCCAACCTGCTCTACAAAGAAAACTCCAGGCCAGCCAAGGCTACATAGTGAAACCCTGTCTCAAAAAAGAGAAGACATGGCTTGGATTCTGGGTCTGCCTGTATGGGTGGTCAATAAAACGCGGTGCTGTAGCCATGGGTCTTCTAGAAACATGGTCAGGCGGGTGGAGGTGTGAGACAGTGGAATCCTGCGTTTGGGCACATTACAGCTGCAGGACTGTGACCAAACCTGCATCCAAGGCACCTAGGAGGAAGAATCAATGTCCTCACACAGGAGGGTCTCTGTCACTGGTTTCTACAGACCCTTCAGATACAAAATAGAAACCTAAACACTGGCAAGGATTTCAATACATTTCCCTTGGAACTGACATGTATGTCAAACACTGAGAAGCCACCTTGGATGCCTGAGCATCTCAGAGTGTCACAGGTCACTTAGTCAAGTCAAGGAGCCCCGGAGGACCCAGGTAGACCTTGCACTAGATGGAGAGAAATGCACGTTCCATCCACGTTGACATCACACAACAGCAACTGACACTCCTCCTCATCCCCTTAGAGGTCTGTTACTAAGGCACGCCTGGGACCTTGCTTTGACCTCCAGGCAACATCCTGGAGCTTCGACTGCCTTCTGTCTGATACACTCTTGAAACCTAGCCTTCAGGGTTCATCACTGACGTTCCGGGCTGAGCACATAACAATGCCGCCCCCTTGTGGTCACATCCGGAAGTGACAGTACCCTGTGTTGGAACCTCTTGCTAGCTCAGAATAAGGCCATCTGAAGGAAGTGGATCCCTCTGCTGGCGGAGTCTGGGCAGGGCTTCCTCTACACCTCTGCATTCATATGAGTCTGCAAAAGCCCAG